CTGGATTTCCTCCTGCCGCACATTCCTGAGAATCGCTACCTGCAGCCAGGGTTCCTCTGTGGATGCACCAACACTTCCAGCAACCTACAGGCAAGGTATAATTACTGAAATATTAATCTCTGTCCTTAGAACCCCACTGTTCTGTAGATGTGCATGAAAATTTCATCAGATGCAAGAACAGCCAATCATCCTGGGAAGCAAGGGGGAAAAGAAACACAACCAAAACCCTGCGTCGATACGTATTGCCTTTCAGTTCAACCTTCAGCGGATGACGTATTGCCCCTAACACCCCATTCCTAAACACCAACCCTCCTTGGATGCTTTTTCTCATCAAGAGAACTGTGCACACAGTGGAGGGGTTTTGTTTTACCTTCAACATGTGACAATGCAAGTCACACGTAAAAGCAGAGAAGATGCAGGACCAAAAGAACAAAACGTGATACGCACAAAGTCATCTAGGTTGAAGATCAGAATTAAGACTTACTTAGAGGCCATAAAACTTCCAACTGTACCTTTAATCCAAGTTTAGAAGTAGAACTGAAGTGCAAATCAAGCTCTGCTGTGCTTTTATGTACATTTTTATGCTTTTAGTTCTTAAAAGCTACAGTATATAACACTCTATGTTATGTGTACTGCTCAACATATTCTTATCATGTACAAAATATTATATCATGAATAGCTACACTTGACAGAATTATGACAGGATTCAAACCCAATTGTACTACAACAGAGCTACCGCCCAAAAATGTTTACCACATGGAAACTGAAAAGGCTGCCAGGCTGAATTTTGCACAAAGCAAATGAAAAGAGGTAGGTAAAAGGCCAGAGAGATCTCTTGCTCTCATATGCTATTCTTTCCTATTCATATAAATAATTCTATTATTCTCAGTCCCATAGTTTTGGAACTATGTTTTTATTAAGATTTCTATAATGTTCAGCTCCGTGCATATCCACCTATACATTTTTAGAATAGAACAACTTCAGGTACTGTACGTAGGAACTGTATCAAACATCGCACATGATCTTGACCATTGCAGTTAAATTAAAATCGAGGGAGATGATAAAGTTGCAAATATCAAACAGATGAAGCAGTCTAACTGTAGAATTAGCTCAGGAAAGATGGAGTGAGCTTGCAAAGCTCAGCAAGGGCTCAGGAGGGAGAAAAATAAAACAATGGTTTTCTCCTTGTATGACATATGCAAAGTTTTACATTTTTCCAGGGGCTGCCATGCTGGTGTCTGGATGGATAGCTGTGCTGAACTCTGTAAAATACTTATATGAAATAAATTGAAATTACAATAGCACTGTCATGTTACAGCTGTGAAAGAGTAGCATTTGCTTCGGCTCTTCCTCATCAGTAACTCACTGAACCTGACTCTCATTTCACACATTAAAATCAATGCTGTCCTTAGCTGGGAGGAAAGAAGAGGCACGTCTCCGTAACATTTTAAAAATATTTCCTTCATCCATTACATAGGATTAGCAGTGTAACGCCCATGAAGGTTGTGGGGTTTGTTTGCAATAAGGAATGCAGAGAAGGGAAGTTTCCCCTAAGCTGCTTATTCTTTTACTCTAAAAATATGTACTTTCCCTAGTGAAGAATAATTTTGAATTTATTTTGCCTTTTACTTAGCTCTATATTTTTAGTGGATTCTACTAATAACTGGGTTTGCTAATGGTAATATGACCTATATATTGCAGTTGAAACTTTCAGAAGTTTCAGACTTTTCCTCCAGACAAACCCATTCCACAAACAACTTTAACTCTGTTAAGTCATCTTAACAATACCAGAAAATATGGTTAAAATTATGCCTGGCCTCTCTGCAGCAGCAGCAACAGTAAGCACACAAAGTACAACTGGAGATAACAAAAGTAGAATGAAGGGAAAAACTATCTGTCCCCATTTTTTCAGGAGTCTTGTAGCAGCTACTGTCGTCAACATGCATCCAAGTGGATAAATTAATGGATAACGAAGCTCAGGGCTCAAGACAGCCATCTATCCATTCATGTGGGGCTTCTATGAAAAAGTAAAGGCAAAACCTGACTATGTTTCTAATCTTTATTATTATTAAACAAAAAAAAAAGTGCATTTTGTCTTCTGGGTACAAATAGCAACCCTATTACTCACAGTGATAGTGTGCTAGTTGATAAATTATTTTAAAAAAAAAAGTAAAAGCAATGTGTAAACTTAAGCATTTTAACTCATTCAAGATCAGTGAGCTGTTGACCTTGTATTGGGTCTCAAATTTGGAAGGGCCAGTTGGATGCTCTCCACGTATGCCTTTGACCTCCCTGCGGTAGGTGGCTCCACAAGGCCACAAAGACCCAGGACACAACCTCCCGGAAGGATTTCCCTAATGATTAAGAAAAGAAGATGCATTTCTGGGGCTGTCCCTGCCCTGCAGTGCTCCCTGCTGCCGAATCCTCCTGCAGGTCTGTGCTCAGCTGGTACCCCAAGGAGCCCAAACCCATGAGCAGGGCCCATCAGCCGGCTCCACCAGCACTCAGAGCCGGTGCCACCACGCTGTCCCTCACACCACGGCGGGTCGACAAAGCCAACAGCATTTACAAACTCCAGCAGTGCAGCTTTTAACATTTGCGGGGAATATCCTCCTTCACTGCATCCCAACCTCCTTTGGCCAGTGAAGCACACACACAGGCAACAATAAAACTGTGGCACTCCACTTTCAAATGAAATGCTGAATTAGACACTTTTAAAACACTTGCCATGGTCTTACAGAGCTTCAAATTGAGAAGGATTATTCTGCGTTACTCACTTGCAACTTTTCTTGCAACTCGCTTTACTGATAGAGGAATGACTTCATTTCCCAGGGTTTCATTCCTTTTAATTTGATCATAGATTTATCAAGTTTTATGCCTAAAACAACAGCATTACTAACTTGAAATTCCCACAGCACATCCTGTGTTGTTCTAGCCCCTGTAAGCTGGTGGTTACGTGAGACTGCCAGTTTGCGCAGGGAGCAGTGGCGCTGCCAGCCAAGCTGTGGACTCGTAAATCAGAAGACAAAGAGAATTTATGAATGTTTAAAATCTCATGAATTTTAACCAAAGCTGTTAATGATTGATTAAATATTCTTTAAAAAAAATCTGTTTAAAAATCAATTTGACAGTAACATCCAATATTTAGAGTAAAGCTACTTGAAAAGTAGCAAATGGAGACCTAAATTATAGCTAACAGTTCTTTGTTTAATAATGCAGATTAAGACAGAAAACACACTTTGATAAGCTTTTTTTGTTATTAAACATGACCAGCATGTATTATAAATATGATTGCAATTTTCAAGTCATGGTTTTACACATTTTAGTTGACTTTTGATTGCCATCTTTGTGTCATGTGAGACAAACCTCAAGTAAAAAGCAATCATTCTCCATTAATGAAGAAATAGGTCATTAACCTTTTCTGAGGAATTAAAAAAAAGCATAAACGAAGACTGTGAAGCTAACTAACTGCATCCACCATTGTGTGAGATACAGTATCACTTTCTGGTTAATATAAAACCATGCCAAATTTCACAAGTGTGTGACAAGCTGCAAGCCGTGTATTTTATACTACTCCTCCCAATCAACAGGAATGGCTCTCACTTCGGAAAAGTTCACATTATTTCATTCAAGGTTCTTTATTTATCATTTGAATCATGAGCACAACCAGTGATTTAAATCACTTCAGCTGTAGAGAGCCTTTGCTGACTGGCAGCCAGCACCGTAAGGGGTTTGTGATATTGGTGGCTGATGGAGCGGCGGCACGGCGAGCCCTGGCTGGGCACCCAGCCGGCACCTGGGAGAGCCCTGGACCCCAGCCACACACAGTGCCTGGAGCCACCTCCAATCAAGGCACCGATGATGTGAACATTTCTGTATTTGAGCAATCTTTTTGGTAATAAACACCACACAGCAACTTGTGGGGATGCCTGTGGGATCAGCACCCAACTTCTAAATGTGCAAAGCGTCCAGTGCACGTCGGGTTGACACGCTGACCGAGCAGGAAATAGAAAGCACAAAGGAGCCCCTTTACTTGTAGGATCTGGAACACCAAACATATTTGTGACAGGAGCTCTCATACTTCACCAGAGGCAAAACCATTTGCACATTTTGCTAAAACTGTTATTAACAGATCACATAAAATTATCCATGAAGAGGATTCCTAGTTTACAGGACAGGATTATTTGTGCTCTCTCCACACTAATACAAGACAGCTTTGCACTAACTAATCTACCAATTGGAATAAATATATTTTTTAAAAGAATATGTCCTCATATAACCGCCATTTGCTGGAAGATGCACGTGTCTGCAGACAGCTCATCAGCGCAGAGTTTTTTGGAACGTGGTGCTTCCTGCTACAGGCCAGTGTCATGCACACGCTGAGATTTATACTACCTGACAGCACCAGCAGATCTGCAGTGATTTGCTACAGCAAATATTAGATAATGAGGATCTTTCAAGAAAGAAGAGTAGATATGAACACAAAATCCTAGATTGTGACATATCCCCCATCACTGGTCATGATACAAAAAATTTTATTTGCTAAACGCAACGTGA